ACACTCTTTCTCCTTCCTGCCACCCCTTTTCTTACTCTCTCTTCCTGTCACTTCTTTTCTGCCCCAAAATCATCACTCTTTATGCATCACTCATTATTCACTGTCCCGGTCTCCCACCTACTTCCCCCCCCCACAGCAGTAGTGGCAGCAGCTGCTCTCTAGGAATCTCAACAGATTGCCTAAATACAGAGATCAGTTTCTCTTAGGGTTGCCAGCTCCATGTTGTGAAATCCCTGGAGATTTGGGGGTGAAGACTCCCAAGGCTTCAGCTTGGAAGTGACCTCAGCAGGGTAGAATACCATAAACTCCACCTTTCAAAGAAGCCATTTTCTCCAGGGGAACTGATCTCTGTAATCTGGAGATCAGTTGTAATTCCAGGAGATCTCCAGCCCTCATGTGGAGATTGGCAACATTAGTTCCCTGGAGGAAGCAACTGCTTTGAAAGGTGGAGTCTATGGCCTTATGTCTGTCTTGTCCCTCCCTGCCTCAATCCCCATCATCCCCAGGCTCCACCCCTCAAACATCCAGGAATTTCCCAACCTGATGTTGTCTTATTTCCTTCCCAACCTACCTTTATCTGCGCCTTTGTCTTCAGCTTTCCATCTCCTGAGGGAAACTATGGTCTTTCTCCACAGTGGTCCCGGTCACACGGGAGGTTTAGGGCCAGAAGAAAGCCGGATTGGGGGCGCAGCAAACGGGTGCGATCAAACCGCAACATCTGGGAAGCGGCGCACACCCATCCCCGATCCGGGCCTTCAGGCCGAAAATCCGCTGTAAAAAAAAATACCTACACAGCAGGACTTACCTGAAACGCTGCAGCAAGCGCGGCTGTTGGAGCGCCGGAGCGCCTGTCTTCCGGAGCAATCGAGGCTCCCAGCCAAACTGTGCATGCACACACATGCGCAGCCGGCAGCCTCACGCTCCCTTCCATGGCTTTCTCCCCAGCATCTGATCGTGCCGGGGAGCAACTGCGCGGCGGCTCATGGGATCTGTGTGATCCCGCTGCTGCGTGTCTCTTTTGGCGCGGCTTTCAATTTTCCCCAGTGTGGCAGGGGCCAGTGAAGACTAAAGCAGTCTCTCCTCCTTTTTATCCACACAATAACCCTATGAGGTAGGTTAGGCTGAAAGTATGTGACTGGTCCAAAATTACTTAGTGAGCTAAGCCTATGTTTGCCAGCCTACAGGTGGGACCTGGACATTTACAACTGAATTCCAAACAACAGAGATCTGTCCCTTTGGAGAAAATGGGGGAACTCTGTGGCACTATATCCAGCTGAGGCCTCTCCCTTATCCAAACTCTGCACTTCTCAGACTTCAACACAGAATCTCCAGGAATTTCCCAACCTGGAGCGGGCAATCTTGGTCCCAGGCCTGGCTCCAACCCTCCCTGCTATTTAGCCATTCATAAGGCAGGAGGTATCCTCCTCTATCCCAGATCCAGTCCTGCTTTTGCAAAGAGAGAGAGAAAGAGAGAGAGAGATGTAAGCAAAATCTGCACTTTCTCTCAGATGATAAAAACCATAGTCATCTATTAAAACAATTGGGGGGGGTTTCCTTCTCCATGCCATAAAATTCACTGACATTTCTTTAATGATCCAGCACAAATCTTGAAAACCCTGGAAAGTTCTATCTTCTTGGGTTAGTGGCTCAGGTGAGGGGCTATGGCTGGGCACCTCTCAGCCCATTTTGTGTGGCGAGGATAAACAAAGATACTGACAGTGTTTAGAGTCAGGGTGGATCTGTCAGAACAGGCAGCCATACACCGGATGCCTAGCTGAGCCCACCAATTTAAATATATTAGCATATTTATTACACAGATCATTTTAATGAATTAAATCTGCTAGTTAAATCCAAAATTTTGTCTCAAGTCTTCCCTGAATAGATGCCTGGGGCAAAGCCCCAACTGACCACACACACTTTGTAAAACACCTAGCAGGTTCCAAGAAAGATGTTGGCTGGTACTATGGTTCCCATGGGTACCATGTTGGACACCCCTGCGGTAAGTATTTATGACAATTGAGATCTCAGATATCATATTTGGAGATCTCGGATATCATATTGGAGATCTCAGATATCATATTTCTGTATATTCAATCCACTCTAAAGTGCTAAATTGTTCTATTGTCCTGGAATAGGTGCCTCCAATCTCTGTCTGTAATGACCACTGCAAGCCAGGATACAGCAAGAAAAAGAAAGAGGGAGAGAAATTTTGCTGCTATGATTGTGCTCCATGTCCAGAAGGGAAGATGTCAAACCAAGAGGGTAGGTGTACTCTTACAAATACTCATCGAGTTACAGAGAAAGATATTTGATGAACTAATTGCTGGGGTTGGACCTGGGGATATTTGAATATCTGCAAGGAATATTAAAAATATGGTAATGATTCTGTTACTTTAACATGAGGAATGCTTGCACCCAGACACCCACGACAGTGGGCAGCCCCTTGTCTAGAAAGAGCAGCTTGAGGGCCTGCCCCAAAGAGCCATGGGGTCCATTCAGGCCTGACCAGCATCAAATAACCTTCCTTGTCCTTTCCCTGCACCATCGAAGCCCTGAGACATATGTGGATGTGGTGGCTCAAAGCCCTGAGTACTTCTTAGACCCAAACCAATGTCCACCAATGCATGTAGACTTGGTGGCTCGAAGCCCCAAGATGTATGTAGACATGGTGGCTCGAAGCCCTTAGATATATGTAGACATGGTTCTCAAAGCCCCAAGTCCAACCCTGCTGCACAACCCCCAAAGCGTACAACTACATATGTAGATACGTTGCCTCAAAGGCCAGAGTCCAACTCTGACAGCCAAAGACCAAAGCGTGCAATGACATATGTAGTTATGGTGGCTCGAAGCCCTGAGATGTATCTAGATGTGGTGGCTCAAAGCCCCAAGCCCAACCCTGACACCCAAAACAGAAAGTGAGCCCATAATGCTCACACACACCCAGGGCTGAAACATACCGCCAGTATTTGAAAGACAGATGGAAAGCCAGACTCCCCTGAGTTTCAGTGGAGACTCCCCAAAGTTCCCCCATGGCAGCTGGGAGGGTATAATAAATGTGGGCCCTCATCCAAGGCACCCACTAGTTAAGGTTTAAACACACAGGTGCAGAGCACACCCACAAATGAGGGTGCATTATTCTACTCTGCACCTGGATCCAGAGCACACCCATCCATCAGGGTGAATTCTTCTCCACTGCAGATTAATGAAAACACATATAGAAGAAGAAGAAGAAGAAGCCCTCATCCAAGGCACCCACTAGTTAAGGTTTAAACACACAGGTGCAGAGCACACCCACAAATGAGGGTGCATTATTCTACTCTGCACCTGGATCCAGAGCACACCCATCCATCAGGGTGAATTCTTCTCCACTGCAGATTAATGAAAACACATATAGAAGAAGAAGAAGAAGAGAAGAGATTGGAATTTGGGGGAAAGCCGACAGGAGATGAAAAGTCTCTGGTTCAGGTTGGATCATCTGAGAGAGATGAGGGGGTACCAGTTGCTTTTCTACAGGGAGGTGGATTGAAATTGTCCACAGAGGCCATGGCTGGTGACATGGACTGCCGGACAACGACTCGAGATAGCAAGAGGAAGGATGCAGGCTTAACTTGTAAGGGAAATTACAGCTGTTTCTATACAAATGCTAGAAGTGTCCGAGGTAAAATCGGGGAGTTGGAGTGCTTGGTGAGGGAGGGAAAAATAGACATTGTGGGTATTTCTGAAACTTGGTGGGATGAGGAAAATCAGTGGGACACAGTGATTCCCGGTTATATATTATATCGGAAGGATAGGGGGGGAAGGGTTGGAGGTGGGGTAGCTCTGTATGTCAGAGAGGGTATAAAGTCTAGAAAGATTGAGAGGCTAAATGAATTGGATTCGCTTCTGGAAGTTCTATGGGTTGAAATAGGGGGGCCAAAAGGAAACTTAACACTGGGAGTTTGTTATCGCCCACCAGATCAAAAGATAGAGGAGGATTATAAAATGATGAATGCCTTAAAGATAGCAACTAGACAAAAACACTGTGTAATAATAGGTGATTTTAACTACCCACACATTGATTGGGTCAATATGTGTTCTAGCCGGGAAAAAGAGATTGAGTTTCTAGACACTCTAAATGACTGTGCTATGGAGCAGATGGTCACGGAACCTACCAGGGGAGAGGCGATCCTTGATTTGGTCCTAAGTAACACTCAAGACCTGGTGAGAGATGTAAAAGTGATTGCACCGCTTGGAAACAGTGATCATAATGTTGTTGAGTTCATCATTTGTACAAATAGAGAATTGGCCAAAAAGACTCACACAACCATTTTTAACTTTAAAAGGGGTAATTTCTCTGATATGAGGGGACACGTGGGGAGGAAACTGAAAGGAAAAGTAGAAAGGGTCAAAACAATTGGGGAAGCTTGGGATCTATTTAAAACTACGATCCTAGAAGCTCAAAAAATATATATTCCGCAGGTTAGGAAAGGCACAAACAGGTATAGGAAAAAGCCTGCATGGTTAACAAACAGAGTAATGGAGGCTGTAAAAAGTAAAAAGAATTCCTTTAAGCAGTGGAAAGCTAGTCACAGTGAGGCTGATAAAACGGAACACAGGCTATGGCAAATAAAATGCAAGTCTGAGGTCAGGCAGGCAAAAAGGGAATATGAGGAGCATATAGCAAAAAACGTAAAAACCAACAATAAAACTTTCTTCAAATACATTAGAAACAGGAAACCAGCCAGGGAGGCAGTGGGGCCCTTGGACGACCAAGGGGTAAAAGGAGTATTGAAGGATGATAGGGAAATGGCTGAGAAGCTAAATGCATTTTTTGCCTCCGTCTTCACTGTGGAAGATGAGAAGTGCTTGCCCACTCCAGAACCACTGATTTCAGGAGGGGTGTTGAAAGACCTGAGTCAGATTGAGGTGACGAGAGAGGAGGTCCTAAAACTGATAGACAACTTAAAAACTGAAAAATCACCAGGCCCAGATGGCATACATCCGAGAGTTCTGAAAGAACTCAAATGTGAACTTGTAGATCTCCTGACAAAGATATGTAATCTTTCCTTAAAATCTGCCTCCATTCCTGAGGATTGGAAGGTAGCTAATGTCACTCCCATCTTTAAAAAGGGTTCCAGAGGAGATCCGGGAAATTACAGGCCAGTCAGTCTGACGTCGATACCGGGTAAATTGGTGGAAACCATTATTAAGGAAAGAATTAGTAGGCACATAGATGAACAAAACCTATTGAGGCAGACTCAGCACGGTTTCTGTAAGGGAAGATCTTGTCTCACTAACCTGTTAGTGTTCTTTGAGGGGGTGAACAAACATGTGGACAAGGGGGATCCAATAGATATTATTTACCTTGACTTCCAGAAAGCTTTTGATAAAGTTCCTCATCAAAGGCTCCTAAGTAAGCTCAAAAATCATGGGATAGAAGGACAAGTCCTTTTATGGATCAAAAACTGGCTAGTTCATAGAAAACAGAGAGTGAGTGTAGGTGGGCAATTTTCTCAGTGGAGGGTGGTAAGCAGTGGGGTACCGCAGGGATCAGTACTTGGTCCACTGCTTTTTAACTTGTTCATTAATGATTTGGAGATGGGAGTAAGCAGTGAAGTGGCTAAATTTGCGGATGATACAAAGTTGTTCAGGGTGGTGAAAACCAGTGAGGATTGTGAGGCACTCCAAGGGGATCTGTCAAGGATGGGCGAGTGGGCGTCAACATGGCAAATGGGGTTCAATGTGGCCAAGTGCAAGGTGATGCACATTGGAGCCAAAAATCCTAAATATAAATACACATTGATGGGGTCTGAACTGGCAGAGACTGAGCAAGAGAGAGATCTTGGAGTTGTAGTGGATAACTCACTGAAAATGTCGAGACAGTGTGTGACTGCAATAAAGAAGGCCAATGCTATGCTGGGGATTATTAGGAAGGGTATTGAAAACAGATCAGCCAATATAATAATGCCCCTATATAAATCAATGGTGAGACCTCATTTGGAATACTGTGTGCAGTTCTGGGCACCACACCTTAAAAAGGATATTATAGCTTTGGAAAAAGTGCAGAAAAGGGCAACTCGAATGATAAAAGGGTTGGAACACTTTCCCTATGAGGAAAGGTTAAAGCGCTTAGGGCTCTTTAGCTTGGAGAAAAGACGACTGAGGGGTGACATGATCGAGGTTTATAAGATTATGCATGGGAAAGAGCAGGTAAAGAAAGAGGTACTTTTCTCCCTTTCTCACAATACAAGAACTCGTGGGCACTCCATGAAACTGCAGAGCGGTCGGGTTAGAACGGATAAAAGGAAGTACTTCTTCACCCAAAGAGTGATTAACACATGGAATTCTCAGAACTATGGCTTGCCCAAGGTCATCCAGCCAGGGGCAAGTGGAGGAGTGGGGAATCAAACCCTGTTCTCCCAGATTAGAGTCCGCACACTTAACCACTACACCAAACTGGCTCTCACACCAAGCTGGCAGGGCCACCCCTCAAGTCTATGACAGCACCCCAGCAGGACACCACAAAGAAGGGAGGGGGGTGCAATTCTCATAGTACCCCCTCCGGGGATGCAATACACAGCCAGTACTTGGGGGACAGCTGAAAAGGCAGACATCCCCAGACTTTTGATGACGTACCCCCATGGTAGCTGGGAAGGTATAATAAATGTGCCCTCATCAATGGGGGTGTATTATTACTCTGAAACTGGGTTTGGAGCGCACCCATCCATTGTGGTAAATTCTTCTACTCCAAGGATAAATGGAAACATATGCGAAGCTGGCAGGGCCACCCCTCAAGTCTAAAATGGCAGGTTATGAAGGACAGGTGAAAAAGTAGACCAGGCATCCCTAAACTTTCAATAAAATAACCCCATGGCTGCTTGGCAAGCACCCCAGCCAGACACCACAGGGAAAGGAAGCATGTCAACAATGCTCCCAGGCCCCCTAAGGCCCAAATACATAGATCCTCTGGTCACAGCCCACCCCTAGGTGAAATTTCTGGTTCTTCACCATTAGCGGAACACAGAGAAGAATCATAGAATCATAGAGTTGGAAGGGGCCTCCAGGCAGGCACCAGCCAGAAGTGAGCTCTCCAGGTTTGCACAAATATACATTCCATCATTCATTTAATTTAGTTAGCACCCCTGTCACCCCCAAAAATCCTGGCTGCAGCCCTGACTTTCACCCTTATGGTGATCACAAATCGTAGGGGCTGGGGGTATATAAATGTGGGTCCTGTGAGGAGGCACCCAGTAGCGAAGCTGCAGTGTTCACCATGAGCACAGAGACTGTGGCTCAGAGTCCTAAGTCTGCTCCACACCCAAAACCCAACAGCAGAGAGCCAATCACAAGCAGGAGGGGTGGGTGTATAGAAATGTGGGTCCTCTGGGGAGGCATCCAGTAGCGAAGCCCCAGTTCTCATCATGAGCACAGAGACTGTGTGGCTCAGATCCCCAAGTCCACCAACCTACACCCAAACCCCAGCACCAGACAGCATAACACAAGCAAGAGGCATGCAGGTATATCAATGTGGGTCTTCTGGGGAGGCACCCAGTTGCATTGCAGTTTTGTAAACAGTTTGGTTGATTGGTGCCAGTCTGTCTCCATTCATGAACCAACACAAATCACCATGAACAGCGCTAAACGTTTGTGAGCCAGTTCATACCCATCTCAATTCATATCCCTGCTTAGAAACTTAAAATAGGCATCCTTCCTTTTCCAGACATGGAACACTGTGTTGCCTGCTCAGAAGATCAATATCCAAGCAGTAGTCAAGATCAATGCATCCCCAAGATCCAAAATTTCCTCTCCTTGGCAGAACCTCTGGGCATTCTGTTAGCCTGCTTGGCTCTCTTCTTTTTGCTGATCACAGCTCTGATGCTCGGAATTTTCATTAAGCACCAGAACACTCCCATAGTCAAAGCCAACAATCGCAGCCTCACCTACATTCTTCTCACCTCGCTCCTTCTCTGCTTCAGTTGCTCTCTGCTATTCATTGGACAGCCAAATGAGTTGACCTGTCTGCTCCGACAAACATTGTTTGGAATCATCTTCTCAGTTGCTGTTTCTTCTGTCTTGGCAAAAACTGTGACAGTAGTTGTGGCTTTCATGGCCTCCAAACCAGGAAGTATTGTCAGGAAATGGATGGGGAAAAGAATGATGTATTCAATTGTCATTTCCTGTTCTCTTGTTCAAGTAGGTATTTGTAGTCTTTGGTTGAGTATTTCTCCCCCATTCCCAGATCTGGACATGGACTCATCGATGGAAAACATCATAGTGAAATGCAATGAAGGGTCAGTCACCATGTTTTACTGTGTCTTGGGCTACATGGGCTTTCTGGCCACCATCAGCTTCACTGTGGCTTTCCTAGCCAGGAAGCTGCCTGACACTTTCAATGAAGCCAAGTTCATCACCTTCAGCATGTTAATCTTTTGCAGTGTCTGGCTGTCCTTTGTCCCGAGCTACCTGAGCACCAGAGGAAAAGACATGGTGGCCATGGAGATCTTCTCCATCTTGGCCTCCAGTGCTAGCTTACTGTGCTGTATCTTTTCTCCCAAATGCTATATCATAATACTGAGGCCTGAGTTGAACAGCAGAGAGCAGCTGGTAAGAAAAAAAAAGATCTTTAATACTCTATCCACCTGCTCTCTTGGTACTGAAGTACGTTGTGAATGTCCATGGCAGTGCAACCATGCAAAATACAACACTTAGGCTGCGGTCACACGGAACATTAGCCACCCTAGTCAGATGGAAGACATGCGGAGTTTCCGGACGCGATCTCACCGGCACGTCTGGGAAGCGTAGCACTCCCGTGGCCCAAACGAGGCTTCCCACTGAACCCGCGCAGCAAAAAACTAGTACCTCGGAGGTACTAGTATCCGGAAACCGCGGGGCAAGGGCGGGCGTCAGATCGCGCTTCCGGTGGCATCCGGCGCCCGCCCATGTTCCCGTCCGTGCGAAAATGTTTTTTCCCCCAGGTCTTCGTGGATGCGCAAAAGCACCCTACGGAGCATGCGCAGTCGTGCTGTACAGAAAAAAAAA